GAGACCCTGGCAGAGTGATCTCTAAGTTGAATAAAATATCAAATGACTTGATATCTCACCTAAGTCATTTAGTACAGAGAAGTAAAAGAAAACCACAAAGATGGTTTTAGTTTAATAAATTACCTAGACTCCTAAAACTGAAGAGAGCTTATTTTTAGCTTTAGTTCAGTTCTCATATATATTCCAAATACCAGATATTGTACTAGACACTGGGGACACAAAAAACAAAGAGAAATTCACTCTACCCTCAAAGAACTCATCATCCACTATGGGATCCCAATTTGCAAACAAGTGCCGTAGGACCAGTGATAGTAAAAGTGTGTGTAAGGTGCTGGTTCTCACCTTTGAATGCACAGTGGAATCACCTGGGAAACTTGTAAAAATTCTAATGCCTGGGTTCCACCCCCGGAGATTGATTTACTTTGGCTTGGGTGTGGACTTGGTGTCTGGTTTTTTTAAAAGCTCCCCATGTTATCCCAATGTGCGGTCAAGGTTGGAGATCTCTGACATAAGGGTGATGAGGCACAGAAGAAGACTCAGCTGTCCTAAGGGAGGAATCGAAGTAAAGCTTAATCGGTAGAATCAAACAAGGAGATGAGGAAAAGGCTTTACAGGCAGAGGTAATACACAGAAGTAGGAAACATTACCCGCCCCCCATTGAAAAAAACTCTAGAATACTCATTATGTATAGGGTATTTAGCCAACACAGGTGGGGTGTTGGGGAATAGTGAACATAGACAGAGGAGGAAAGCTAGCTGAAAACATGGATGTTCATTCATACTCTAAGTTTGGACTTGGTCTTAGAATTAGGAATCAATGGAGTTCTAAGGAGAACAACATGACTGTATTTGAACAGTTTTAGGAAAATAACTCTTCCAACTAGTGTTAAGTTGGACTGATGGTCTAGAAGTTCCAAGCAAGATGCCCACTTACTGCCAAATCCAAGTGACAAGGTTAATGGCAGTGGACCTAAAACAGGAAAATGACAGATTTGTAAGATACTGAGGAGGTCGAATTGGCAGGATGTTGTGACTGTGGGTGAATAGGATGACTCTTAGTTCGTGACTTGAGTAACAAGATGGATGGTTGGACTGTTGACCAAAACAGGGAATACTAGATGTTTAGTCAGAGAGGGAAAGGTGTACAATAAATGAGTTCCTTTGATTCATTTTAATTTGAAATGCTGGTAGGACTTTCAAATAGAAATCTTCAGGAAGCCTTTGGATATGCAGGTCCAAGACTCAGAAGAGAGGACAGCCATGATGATATTAATTTAGGAGTTATCAGAATATAGGTCAGTCACATCTGGCAAGAAGATGAAATTGCCCAAGTGAGAAATGCAGAATGGAACACCAATATTAAGAGAATGGACAGAGGAAATGAGCCATCAATTTTTCTAAGAAAGAGGTTAGGGTAGCAGGAGTAGAACCAGGAAAAGATGATAATGTGGAAACCCAAGGAGTAATATTTCAGGAAGGGAATAATCAAAAGTATCAGGTGCTTTAGAATAACCAAAGAATGTGAAGAATAAAATACACCCATGGGTCAATGGAGCAGTTTCACAGGAATAGTGGTTCTAGAACCCTGATTGCAATTGATTTAAGACTGAATTTTGACTTCAGTCAAAAGTGTGGAATTGATAGATTTAGGAAACCCTTCTCCTACTTCTCTAACACATACAAAGTCCAGTTAGAAATATATAACTTTAGGGGCACCTGGGTGGCTCAGTCAGTTAAGCATCTGCCTTTGGCTCAGGTCATAGTCTCGGGGTCCTGGGATCGAGCCCCGCATCAGGCTCCCTGCTCAGTGGGGAGTCTGCTTCTCCTTCTCCCTCTGCCTCTTCCCCTGCTCATGCTCTCTCTCTCTCTGTCTCAAATAAAATCTTTATATATATCTTTTAAAAAATTTAAATATTCAGCCAATTTCAAAAGGAAAAAAGGCAATTCTCCAGATGCCGCAAATGAAAGAAAATAGCATATAGGATCTATGTGCCATAGCAGTAAGCAAATAGTGATGCTGAGTGGCCCACAAAAGTATCAGGACTTCATATGGCAATTGTCTTTGTCTGTTTGGGCTGCTGTAACAAAGTGGCACAGATAGGATGGCTTATAAACAACAGAAATTTATTTCTCACAGTTCTGGAGGGTGGAAGTTCAAGATTAGGCTGCCAGAAGGGTAAGGTGAGGCTGTCTTCCAGGTCTGAGACTTCTCATTGCTTTATCACGTGGTGAAAGGAGCTAGGGAGCTCTGTGGGATTTCTTTATAAGGGCACTCATCCCACTCATAAAGGCTCTACTCCTGTGACCTAATCACTTCCTAAAGTCCCCACTTCCTAACACTATAACATTGATAGTAGGATTCCAACATGTGAGTTTTGGACAGACACAGACATTCAGATCATAGCCGAGTTCAGACCCAAGTTGGGGCTGGCATTTGAACACCTGCATGGCAGGGAGTTTTATTCATGCAGAAGTTATGCAAGGGACTTTTCCACCTATGACTGCAACCAGGAAAACTCTAGACTTGGGAATGAGCCACCCAACTTGGAGAGTAGAAAAGTGGCCTCTAGAGGAGATCAGAATCCCACACAGGTGCAAGTAAGGACCTCCATTTGCACTTCCCCTGTTGGGAGAGAATGTTTTAAGCCAAAAAAAAGGAAAGGAAAAAAAAAAAAAAAAACTTAAAACCTACTTGGAACTAGTGAAACCTATAGGATCCAGACGAGGGGAATGCAAACCACCTAATAGTAACATCTCTAAAACTCAGGGCAAATGTGGGATTCCCATAGAGGACAAATCCCACTGAGGTGGAGCTTGCAGACCAATAGCACATCACATGAGAAAACTCATCATCATGAGAAAAGAAGGAAAATGCAACTAACAGGACATTTGACATCCAACGAACTAACAAAAAATGTAAAGCCACATGAGAGGAACTTTAAAATTGCTGCTTTTAAAATATTCAAAAAGGTAAAGAATAGAATCCATAATTCAAGAGCAGGTCATTTTGGAGGAGGGAAGCTAGTGGATTTCTAGAATTGCTGAAGAGAAAATCTAGAAAGGAAAAATACAATAATTGAAAACATTTCAAAAAAGCAATAGATGGGTTAAATCCTAGAGTAGATCCTGGAGAGAGAGTCATAAATTGATAAAATGAGTGAGAGGTGAGAAAGAGAAGTCATTGAAGGCCACTCACTGGGCGACAGGGTCTGTGAAGGGTAGGGAGGAGCTTCACTGGAGAGAAATGCTGGATCGAGGAAGAGATTGATTCATTCTTTAAAAAAAAAAAAATGACGGGGTTGGGGGATACGTTGAGAGAGCTACGAGATATGGAAAAGGGGATTTTGGGGGCAGTAGGGAGGATCCCTAAGAGCCTAGGTAGAGAGATTAACTGGAAGTGAATGAAGATGAGACCGATTTGAAGATATTTCTGTGGGGAATAGAGGTGGAATGTTTGAAAAGTATATAATTAAGAAGCCTCCTTTCTGTGTCAGATAGGAAGAATGTAGGGGATAAGCAATGAGGAGATAAAAGGTGAAGGTTTAAAGAATGGCATTGAGGGAATGGGAGGGGAAGTTGAGCAGAAGCAGGTAAAAGGAAGGCCAAAGAACATTGACGGCCCACCTGGCATACGACATCATGAATGTGAGATGGTACCCAGCACCCCACATATGTATGGGTAAAAGTCAGATTGTAGGACTAATCCATAAATAGCGCAGAAAAGATGCAAGAAAATAACAAGAGAAAAAAAGAGAATAGAAGGTACCAGGGAGAGTAATTTGAGAGACCTGAAGAAGGTTCTGAAGTCTAATTTCTGCATTGTTGACCATAGTTACCATTAGAAAACTTTTGCTTATCGTGAGTTAGGAGAATGCTAGAAATCAGCTATGGTTTTCTTAGTAATTCTAGCTTATTTTCAGAGAACCAGAGCGATACTGCTCCCTACAACCTGAAATCCTATTACCTCGAGTCAGGTTGTCATGAGTCAAAGTTTTTAGGCTTCAGCTTCTTTTGTTGACAGACATGAAATTGCCTGTTGGTTAAGGAGCTTTTATCATGAATACCCACCATACATATGTTGTATATTAAGATGTGCATAATGTCCCCTAGTTACGATTCTTACACCAACATAAATTCCTGCCTGTGACAGGGGGAAACCTCCTGGAGTCTGGGTCAACTTGAGAGGGGGTAGCCAGCTAAGTAGCACTCCCTTCATAAATAAATGTCATTCCTGTCACTTAGAGTTGCTGATGATTTTTAGACCATTGAAATTAGTTATAGTGACAGAAATGTTGAACAGAAGGAGAAGCTTTTTAATTAGGTTGAAATTGAACGTTTAAGATGAATTTACAGGTACTTTCTGGTAAGCGCAGTGTTGATAACTAACCCATGGGCCTTATTAAAGGACTTGAAGCCTGTCACTCTAGGTCACCAGTCAAAGCCCACTGGAGAGAGCAATAATCAAAGACTTTTTCTGCCTGACATCTGGGGCAGAAGGTTTCTCTATGATGGTAGATTTACTTTGAATAGAGGGGTGTCCGTAGTTCAAAAAGTACCTTCAAGTAGAACTAATTGGTATTTTTAAACCAAGAAGTCAGAGAACAACCTTTTGTAACACTTCGTCACCTTTCCAATACCACTTATGTTGTTATTTCATAACATTCTTATTTGTTCAACATCTTTCTTGAAAGGTCCACCCCAAAACCTACCATATGTTTTTATTTATCCTAAGGGATTAACTATGATAAGGGTGACAAATTAGTATTATTATGGACCTTGCACAATTACTCAGCAGTGAAGAGACTAAGAACAAAATCTAGAAATGGTTTCCCAGTAATGTGACCTGCTAATGGATGTCAGGACTCCAACTCAGATAATAGATTATGTTAATAAGAGAGATGGCTGTGGTATTTTTTTCTTCTTCAGCAAAGGTAGATGAAAAATGCTAACTGGATACCAGGCAATGTGCTGAAGTGTCTCTTTTCCACTGATTGTGTTCAGGGGCATTGTCCAGTCAGAAGAGAAACTTGTCATCAGTGCATCTTGGGCAAAAGATGATGATATCAGCAGACTCTTGAAATCTCTACCAAACTGGATTAACATGGCTCAACCCAAACAGCTGAGGCCAAAAAGAGAAGAGGAAGAAGATTTCATAAGGTAACAGATTTATTTTCTATGTTGTATTAAACAGTGGGAGTAAAAACATCTGTTTAGCTAACTCTTCCTTACATGGAATTTGGGGCAATTCTAAATAACAAGCAGCAATGAACTGAACTTAGTAAAGTCTGTTTCTATCCTAACACACCTCATTTCCCATGTAAGTATGCTTTGTACTCAAAATTCTAGAAGGGATTGATGTATATCAAATTTGGAGATTTGTTAAATCAAGTTAAAATATCTTTTAATTTGTAGGTCATTTTTCCCTCTAAGGGGAAGCATGCAATTTACTCATTAATGCATTTATTTATTCAGCAAAGCTGTATTGACCTTGTTATGTGCCATACCTTGGAAAGATGACAATTAATGACATAAGGTTCTTGCCCATACAGAGTCTTTCAAAATTGTTCTTAGCATGCTCTTCAGTTCCTAGAACTGTTAGTTGAACTTTCTGGAAATATAAATGAGCTTCTCATGTTTGTTCAAATACATTGTATTATCTCTGATTGTTTCCTACTTATTTTGAGAAAAGTAAGGTCTCAGCTTTATCACTCGACATTTACCTTTGTACAATTTAAGTTTTTTACATAGCCATGACACTGTGGCCTCATTCAGTGAAAGTACTCATTTTCACGTGGCATGCCACAGTGAAATATTTCCACCTCTGTCACTGTAGAGCTGTGTAAAGTAGGAAAAAATGAAGTAATACTTTGTCACATTAAAATTAGGTTTATTCTTACTGTTTTTTGCTTATCCAGGTGAATGAATAAATAGTAAAAATAAAATCAAAGCACTTTAAAAAAGCAAAGACCAGAAAAGGAATAAAGGAAGTAATGGCCAATATTTTACTTTTAACTCATCATAGAACTGTGGGCTCATCTTTTTCTCAGAATGTGGGTTGCAACTGTAGATAAATAGGTTTTTACTGCTCACCAAGTTACCTGTATTCATACAGGAATGCTAGTGCCTCATTTTTACCAACCTTTTATTATGAAAATTTGTTAGAGTACCATTTAAAACCGTATCAAAATCGTGAGACTCAAAAATTCACCTGTAATTTAACTATATATATATATATATATAGTTTACTTTTTAGATTAATAGACTTTATTTTGGGGGGGAGCTGTTTTAGTTTACAGAAAGTATTGAGCAAAAAGTATAGTTCCCATTATATACCCTTACCTACCACCTTCAGTTTCCTCTGTTTTTAACATCTTGCATTAAGTGTGGTACATGTGTTATACTCGATAAGCTAATATTGATACATTATTATCAACTGAAGTCTATAATATACATTAGGGTTTACTCTTCATATTGTAAATTCTTTGGGTCTTGACAAATATAAAATGGATGTATCATCTCAGTATCATTCAGAATTATAGTTGCACTGCCCTAAAACTCTTCTGTGTTCCCCATATTCATCCCTGCCTTCCTTTCCCCAAAGCCCTGCCAACTGCTGATTTTTTTTTTTACCATCTCCATAGTTTTGCTTTTTCCAGAATATAATAGAGTTGGAATCATGTGTAGCCTTTTCAGATTGGCTTTTTGTGCTTAAAAATATACGCTTAAGATTCCTCCATGTCTTTTGTGACCTGATAACTCTTTTTTTTTTAATCCCTGAGTAATATTCCATTGTATGGGTGTACTATAGTTTGTTTATCCATTCACCACTTGAAGGACATTTTGATTGCTTCCAGGTTCTGGCAATTATAAATAAAGGTGCTATAAACACTTATGTACAGGTTTATATGTGGATGTAAGTCTTTCATTCATTTGGGTAAATACTACAGAATGCGATTGCTCGATCGTGTAGTAAGAGTATGTGTCATTTTGTAAGAAATTGTCACTGTTTTCCAAAGTGGTTCTATTTTGCATTCGCGCCAGCAATGAATGAGAGTTCCTTTTGCTCCACATCCTCTCTAGAGGTGCTAATGTTTGGTGCTAATGCTAATATTTGGTGCTAATGTTTTGGAGTTCGTACATTCTGACAGGTGTGTAGTGATATCTCATTGTTTTCATTTGTATTTCCCTAATGGCATATGATGTTGAACATCATCTTTTCATATGCTTATTTGATATTTGTATATATATTTTTGTTGAGATACTGCTTATTTTTTAATTGGATTGTGTTTTCTTATTGTTGAGTTTTAAGAGCTCTTTGTATGTTTTGGATACTGTCCTTTATCTGATATGTGTTTTGCAAAGATTTTCTCCCAGTCTGTGCCTTATGTTTTCATTCTTTTCACAGCTGCTTTTGTGGAACAGATGTTTTACATTTTAATGAAGTCCAGCTTACTGTATTTTTTCTTTTATGGGTCATGCTTTTCTGCTTTCTGATTTTAATTCTGAATATTTTATATGATTCCATTTTCTCCTCTCTCTTAGCATATAAATTATACTTTTCTTTTACCTTTTTTAGTGGTTTCCCTAGAATTTTCAATATACATTTATAACTAATTCAAGTCTGCTTAACACCAGACCACTAAAACGGGTCATGCAAGTACCTTATAACAAAGTATTCCTAATTCCCCCCTTCCATCTCTTATAACATTGCTGTCATTCATGTATTTCATTTATCCATAAGCTATAATCACTGTGTATAATGTTGCCATTATGCTTTTGAACAAATTGTTATCTGATCAATTAGGAGTAAGAGAAATAAAAGATTTTATTATTCCTCCTCTAATGCTCTTCCTTACCTACCGTAGATGCAAATTTCTGAACTAAATAATTTTCCTTTGCCCTAAAGAACTTCTTTTAACATTTTCTGTAAGGCAGGTCCTCTAGGGACAAATTCCCTCCATTTTTTTATTTGGCTTTATTAAGTGATTCGTAATTGGGCAGCATCCCAGCTAGCAAGTAGTGGGGAGCTCCCAAATTCCCTCAATTTTTGTTTGCAGAAGAAGTCTTTATTTCTCCTTTTGAAAAATAATTTTTAGGGTACCAAATTCTAGGTTGTGGTTGTTTTCTTTCAACACTTTAAATATTTCACTCCATTATTCTTGCTTCCATGGTTTTTGAAGAGAAGTCTAATATAACTTTTATCTTTGTTCTTCAGTAGGTAAGGTAATTTTTTGCCTCAGACTTCTTTCAAGATTTTATTCTTTTTTATTTTGTGCCGTTTGAATATTATATGCCCAGGTGTAGGTGTGTGTGTATGTGCGCGCACACGCTTCATGTTTGGTATTCTCTGAGCTTCCTAGATCTGTGATTTGATGTCTGTCATTGGTTTTGGGAAATTCACAGTCATTATTTCTTCAAATATTTCTCCTGTTCCTTCTTCTCTTTCTTCTCCTTCTGGTATTCCCATTGTCCATATATTACACCTTTTTTTTTTTTTAAGATTTAATTTATTTGAGAGAGAGAGAGTGAGAGAGAGCATGAGAGGGGAGAGGGTCAGAGGGAGAAGCAGACTCCCCACTGAGCGGGGAGCCTGATGTGGGACTCGATCCTGGGACCCCAGGATCACGACCTGAGCTGAAGGCAGTTGCTTAACCAACTGAGCCACCCAGGCGCCCATATTACACCTTTTTAAATTGTTCCTACACTTCTTGGATATTCTGTTCTGCTTTTCTCTTTAAGTGTATCCACTTAATCATATCTATAACCTGAATAGTTTTATTAGAAGCAATTTCTAGAGGATAAATTATTTTTTCCCAACTTTTCAGGTTACTTTAAATGAATGTAAATCTTCCTGTTTCCTCAGCTTATTATTATATAACTCCTTAGTTGTCTTCCATGCTTGCAAAGAGATTTTCAGTTGGTTTTATTAGTATCTCCAGTAGCTTAAAGTAGCTTCTAGCCCTCTCCCAGAAAAGAGAATGCAGGTCCAAAGAGCTGCATGTCTGTGTACCACCTCATGCTTCTGATACAGAAAAGCTAGATTAGGTCCCTAGCTTTCTTATTCTTGCTTTGCTTACTGAGTTGTATCACCTTCCACCTTAAATTTGAAGGCAAAACAACTTATACATACATTTTAAAAAATTTTTGGTGAATTACAACATACATGAAGTCAAGTGTAACCTTAGGTATATAACTCAGTGAAATGTTATATATGATTATACCCATGAAATCACCTCCCAGATCAAAATATAGAACTCTCCTAGCACCCGGACAGCCTACCCTCAAGGTAACCACTATTCTGACTTTGATCACCAAGATCAGATTTGAATGTCCCCAAATTTTATATAAGTTTAATCATAGTATCGGATTTATTTTGTTGAACATTATGGCCAAGAGATTCGTCCATGCTTCTGCATGTAGACATAGTTTGAAAACAAATTATATTTACTTTAACAATAGAAAAATAATTTTTTCAGTCTGTTTTGTTTTGTTTGTGATTCTTTGCTCTTAATCTTTCACATTCTCTATCCTGATTAGCTGTTGAAAGTGAAGATAAGTAGGAGCTTATCTTTATTTTTTTACTCACTTACTTTACTTTCTTACTTACTTTATTGATATTCCAATGTGGTATAGTTGACAGAGCCTTGATTTAGCACGTTAGAGTACCATAGAGCATGGCAGGAGCCAAAAAGACTGAAAAGTCACACTTCCCTCCTATAATTAGTTTTTAAAGCGCAGAGGGCTGTTTGGCACACGGATGAGTATAGAATCCAGTGCCCTTTGCATTGAATAAAGGTTATGTTCCCTTCATTACTAAATGAGGCCCTTTCCTATTCTTGTTTTTTAACTAAAAAATAAAGTATGTTATTTCCAGGCTTAACTTTGAATAGAGGGGGAAAAATAGGTCAAGCCAGGGCTTTAATAGAAAAAGGAAAAATAGCAAATATCCTTTTGTTTCCCAAGAAGCTGAAAGCAGGCTTTCTAGCCCATTGTCTCTGCACCTGTCATATATATGTATATATTTATCCTTTTGAGATCAATGAATGTCCACTGATAAAAGCAGTCCCGCTTTCTGGAGATGTAATTAACAGAAAAGGTAAGGTGTTAGGACAAATGACGGAGTGGGGAGGGATTGTCCAGGAGTTGGGGAGGCCATC